AACATTTTGTTTGTCCTGACAGTGTGAAGAAACGATTAAATTTTGGGATTACAAAAGAAAAAAAGTCATTTAATTTTTTTAATTTTTATTTAAAAAAAAATGTATTTTTTTGAATATCGAAAATGATTCCGATCTTAATCTTTAATAAAATTCTAAAACTCATTTATATACTTTATATTCAATAATTTTAACTTTGCAATTTAGTTTATATAATTCTTAGAAATATGAGATGAAATCCTTCATTCTAACACCGCTGCATTAAGTTTTGTTCATTTACTTTCTATATACACATATATAAACGTCGTCGTTCTTTATATTTTGTCTATAAAATACGAATAATGAATGTTACAGTATTTATAATAATCTATTTAAAACATTTAAAATTCCTCTAACATTTCATTAAGGCACGATTCCCTGCACCACTAGTTTAAAAATAAAATACTATCAGCAAAACAACGTGTGGTTAAACCCACTTTCGGGATAAGTCTAGTGTGTTCTCAAATATAAATATATCAGAACTTTTTTTAAACTATTTCGATTTCAATTATCGAGAAAAATTAATGCAAAGTAAATCATTTCAGTACTTTGTCCTTTTTATCGCAGTAATTTACAACATTGAGTGAAAGCTTGATCAACACTACCGGTGTCCATAATTTTTCAACGACATTCTACAATTAATCAACTGGTCAAATCGAATAACGTGAAGCACTCATCCACTACAATTGCATGTATTATCATTTAAATTTAATATATACAATATATACAAATTATTCTTATCAGCAATGATTTTAGCATGTAATGTACTTTCGTTTTAATTAAGATTCAGATCGAGCACGTGATTCTCTTACAACTTACATGCTGAGTTGAATCATCTAAAACGATTTCATTGCTAATAAGATCAGTCACTTAACGCTGGCGGGGGCCCCGATAGACTACTACGGGGTCAGGCTTAATTCGATCTCAAATGAGTTCATACTTGCCAGTGACATGCCCTGACTCATAAAAGAGCCATATGTTCTCAAATACTAACAATAAGAGACTACTATTAAAACAATGACACCGGCTAAAGGTACATTGCTTACGATATATTTGATTTTTAATAAAGCAACCTGGGATTTATAACATTTATAAATTACATTTGGTGCACAGAGGAGTTTTGTAATAATTACATTTTAATTGGGAAGTTTGTTTTCGACCGAAAATGGAATTTGCTTATTTTATGTATTCTTGATGTTTTAAGTCGTTCGGAATTGACTGACAAAAAATTGGAAAAGTGTGTAGGGTAGAGCGGCAAATAAAAGGTCTACCATGGGTCTAGCACAGATGTCTCAAAAGCAAGTGAAGTTAAACATTTGTTTAACAACAATATTTAAAAGTAGAGGGCAAAAGATGTATTAACAACCATCACTTTGATTCTTACGACATCGAGAGATAAAGGCCAACGTTTAAAAATCCATAATAAAAGTATTTCTTTGTTAGTTTTTTTTATTGCGAGTACTGTTGTTTAGTTTATGAGACAATAATATAATTTTTAAGTATACGTTATTTTATTGTTTTGTGAAATGTATTGTTATTTTTAAGTTAAATTTAACAGTTCTTTATATGTAACCTCTACAAGGCTTACATGCGGGTGGGGTAAAAAGGTCCAACCAAACATTTACCTTGGCAAGGTTTAAACACAAAAATAGTAAATAAAAAAGTAAATTAAGTAAAAAAAGCAATTTTACAAGAGATAAGTTAAATAAATAGTTATTCCAAATCTGCTGATGATTATTTTTGACAAAATTACAGATTAAGCTTATATACAGGGTAAAATCTCTATAAAAAAAAGTTCACACGAAATTTATATTTTGCACTTGTTGAATAATGAAGCTATTTCGTAAATACTCTGTAAAATTTAAAAAAAGACGTTGGATGTGTTTGCCTTCTGGCTGTCCTATTTTACCTCGTCTATAGGATAAAAAGGACAGGTGACAAATTTTAGAAAAACAGTAAAAAATAAATTTCTAAGATTAGGAATAATCAAGGATCTATACTGAACATAGTTCGATAGTTGTGTTGTGATGTAGTTCATTTGGTTTTTAGATAGTATAATTACTTAAAGTGAAAAATTAAAAGGCATCCAAAAATTATTAGGTAAAATAAACCAAACTAATTCTTTATAACAGTTAAAATATTTTTTAAATAACTCTAAAATTTAAAAAACTATTCTAGGTCTCAATTTTTATTAACCTTGACCAGTCTTAGGTAAGACCACAGTAATTAACATTTGTTGTTAAAATTTTCTTCCACATGCCTATGAGATTTATTAATTTGGTGTTGAATGGACCGACTAAGTCATTGCCACTGAAATTTTAATCTTTCATTACCTTAACGGATTTAAGAGGGATTCAACAAATATTTGATTTTTATCAAAGAACAAACGAAAACAACAATTGTTACTTTCTAAAGATTGCCAAGCCACTTCTTTATTTTAAAGAGTTCAATATTAAATTTTTAAAATTTAGCAAAACTCTAAACATATTTTAAAATTTTCCGAAAATACATCAAAATCTACTATCAATTAATTGACTATTCAAGATAGTCAGGAGTTAACCATTTTCCATATATTTTGAAAAATTAATTTAAAAGAAATGTAACATGGGAAAGTAATATTGCTAATTTCTCTCTATATCTTATTATATCATAATTGATATAGCACATGTTTGTGTATCGATGTATCAGATTTCATCTTGTATCAACATCAGCTGATAAAATGTTTCGTAATAATTGATACTTTAATTTCTGTTATTGTCTATTAGTTCAATATCTGCCACACGCGCTATTTATCTTTGTACCAAATCACAAAATATGTTATTAAAAATCAATTTAAAGTAATTTTTACTGATAATTCAGATAACTATAAATTAATTGGGTAATTATTATCAAATTTTGGCGATAATTTTTATTTGAATTTGCCGAATTTTTTATGTACGCACATACTTCAGAATTGTTATCGATGCCTTTGATGCCGATAGATCGATTATTGCAACGCACTTGTTTAAGAATATTTCACGATAAGATTATGTATTTTAAACAATCTGTATCGAAATCACGATCAAGTAAACATTTTTATACTACTTAATTTATGGAATTTTTTTATAAAGATAAAATCTATAAATTGGTAAATGCATTTTGACAATATAATTTTGTGAAATAGATAACGCGCTATCATGGGTAATTAAATAACAGATGGTATGTTATTTCTATTCAACCAATGTTGAATATGATGAATTTATAACAATCACAATATATAGAAGTTGCTGTACATTTCAAAATCTATTAAACAGAAATAATTTCATGGTAACATATTTTCAATGTCTGGAGGTCGCATTCTATAGTCACCTGATACAATAGTAAGAAATTTATAATGAGATTAAATTAGATCCCAAAAAACTCTTGTATGTATAAAAAGAAAACAAATTTTTAGTCATGCCACCTCGAATTCTTGTTATTAACTAATTCTCCGAAAATAATAAAACGTGTTTTGGTGATGAATTATTAGCACGAAATGAGTCATTGTTTTTAAAGTAGACGGATGAGAAACATAATTTAATCAATTTTAATATGCGATTTTTGATACAATAATGTTATGTATCGGCTATGTGATTTTTTATAAACATGATCAATTATTATGCGGTATGTAAGTTTACCACAAGAAATTATAATTTATCAACAGTTTTATGAGAAAAACAAATGATTTTCATATCACGCCATAATGAAAAACATAGATGAAATGAGTTTATTTTTTTGATAAAATAATTTTTCGTGCGTAGAAAACGAGCAAATAAGTTATTTAGCCAATTATTTTCAAATAAGAAATGTTGAAAATTAATAACAAGTATTAAACATAATTCTTTTCTATCCGTTTTTATTACAATTTCTTAGAAATACATTAAATTCCTAGAAAATGAAATTTGTAAATAAATCAGAAACACTAATCAGCGTTAAAGTAATGTTTATAAACACATTATATAACTGGATTGTTTTAAGAAACTGCTAAGTGCAATATTTTTATATTATTTTTTTAATTAAAGAATACAAGAATAATTTATTATCGTCCAATCATAACCTAAACTTTTACATTTATAATTAACTGAAATTGTGAAAAGCATTTAAAAAGTTTATAATAGATATTTTTGTTATCTTTGGTTGACTTTTTACTTAATTAATGTCACTTGATAAAAAAAGTGCTAAATAATGTATATTATTAATTTTCGAATTAAAATAGATTTTTTGATGAGCATTTAAGAGATTTGGAATAAATATTTCGTTTATCTTTGGGTGACTTTTAAGTAAATGATCACTTAATCAGATTATGAAATTTTGCTTAATAATACAAATTATTAATTTGGGAATTGAAATAGATATTTCTGATAAGCATTTAAGAAATTTAGAAGATATATTTTGTTTATCTTTGGTTGACTTTTTACTTAAGTGACCTAATGATCACTTAATCAATTATATAATTTCGCTAAATAATTGGAATCGATTAGTATTTTATGGTTTCGAGCTCTGATGGTTGAAGTATTAAAATTAAATGTTCGTTCAATGGGTCACTGTCACTGATAAAATAAACAATAATAAATCGACACATGTTATTTGTAATTAGAGAAACAATTAACAATATAGGAAGTGTTGGGCGCATAAGTAAAAGTGTATCGTTGTTTTGATATCTGGGAATGCGTTAAGAATTTTCATTGTCTACACCGCCAAGAGCATATGAACTTGAAACATTTTCCCAGCATTTCCAAACAAACAAACAAACATAGTATCGTTCTCGACAGTCGTGTTCATGTAATAGTAGTGTTGTCGAAACAATTGTATAAACAGAAAAACGCCTGAACCACCGCAACGCCGTTCTTGATGGGCGTTGCTGCAACGCTAACCGCGAAGAAGAATGTGCCTAGACCCGATCGGGACCTAAGGAATTATTAAGGATCCTTAAAAAATAAACTCACCCCAACTCAGTCCTGTCCTTCCTAAGACTGTTCCCTCTTCGCTGTTGTACAAGAACTCATTCCAAGGCACTGGTTTTTTCCTGTGAGGCGTACCGAATAGATCACCGTCAACTGTGTACTGTTGTTTAGACATCACGTAAACACTAATTTTATAACAACCGCCTTCGTGTCACTAAACATAAATGTGCGCTTAAAACTAATTTTTTGTTGGGAAGGATTGGATTTTATCTTAAAAACTAAAGAAATGTGTCAAAACGTGCGCGTTCCTCCTCGGCGAACACGCTAGCCGAACACAGTCTCGTCGGAACTGGTCGAACGGCGAAACAAAAATTTCAAACTAAAATAAACACATACACGTTGTTGGTAAGAAGTGTTCTTCGCCGCGGCGTATGTGTGCTACTCGCGGTGGGGAGGGCTTCATTGTTCTACACACATAATACTAATAGTTCGTCCTTTTCACTCCCATTTCACTTGCGATGCAACTGTCTCTTTCCACGCCTGACTTACCTGTCTGAGCCGCGGTTGTGTGCGACAGGTAATAGAGGGGTGACTGGCGAGACCTCTACTCACTCGTCCATTCTTTGAAGATGCTGGAGGTTTTTCGGATCATAGTATTATGAAGCCATTAACCAGTTCAATTTCTATTTTAAAACAACGGCAATGGCATTATGCATCAAGACAAATTGACAGAACCTCCTGTTTTGTAATTAAAATTTTATAAAATTTCAAAATTTTTGGAAAATTTTGAAAAAACTTGGAACTATGAAGAAGACTGTCTTATGAAATGAAATCGTTAAACATTTTAAATCTTGGTACGGAACCCAATGAAATTGACAAAATTCTGACTTATTATTAAAACCTCTATAAACAATCTTTGACCGATCTTTGAAGATGCTGGAGGTTTACGGATCATAGTATTTTGAAGTCATTTACTAGTTCAATTTCTATTTTAAAACAACAGCAATGGCATTATGCATTAAGACAAATTGATAGAACCTCCCGTTACGTAATTAAAATTTCTTAAAAGTTTCAAAATTTTTGGAAAATTTTGAAAAATTTTGGAACTATAAAGAAATGAGACTGCCTTAGAAATGAAATATCGAAGCGTGATGGCGCCGCGTTCACGTCTAATCGTTAAACATTTTAAATCTTGGTACGGAACTCATAGAAGTGTTAACAAAATTTTGACTTATTATTAAAATCTCTATAAAATATCTGATAAGTTGATGTACATATACTTAATGACCATTTTTAAATGTCTAGCGGCAGTTTTTTCAACTTTTTTTATATATCCGAAACCTCTGGACTTACCTTCCGAAAATTTAATCAACTTTTCACTCCGTCAATACAAGTGAAATGTTTATTCAATCATTCAAATTGGTCGCTCTGTTTGCTCAAAAACTGCTATTTTTTGCACTTTTTGCCCCGTATCTCCGAAACTACTGGATCTGGCTTTACTAAAAACTCTTTTGAATCATTCAAATCGGATTCATGTTCCCTAAATCGTGGATGAAAAATTGTATCCGAACACACACACAAACACAGATACATAGATTTTGCTGATAAATAGCCGATAAATAAATGTTTATAACGATGAAGAATTTAGAATTGTGGTGGCAGAGTTTCTTGTTTCTTTTGTTATTCTTATATTTTATAATCGATAACAATGTGTTATTACATCCCTTTGGAAATTCTACTTATAACAATTAATCATAAAGGCAATAGAAATTTTTTATTGTTATATTTTTAACAGCAATCAGAACCTTACGTCCTATGAGCTGTTAGGCTGAAACTTCTCCTTACTTCGTATTTTTAGATAGTAACCCAATGGTTAATCCATCCATATTTAATGATTTTTTTTATTAGAATTAATCTAATAGGGCTGACTTGTTATTGGTGCAACAATGCCGGGCGAGGGCTATTTTCACTTGGAAACATATTGCTATCTATATTTCCAAGTGAAAATCGTTGTCACTGCTGCCTGACAACAGGCTGCTCGAAGTGGGTATCGAACCCGGGACCTCTGAAACAAGACCCGTCGCTCTTAACCGCTTACCTACGGGCGAGCCAATAAAATTAAAACGTATAAGACTGACAATAATTTTACGATATCAAAGCGTCTATATAATTTTGTTTAGGAAATTACAACAAGCACTAATTCTAATAACTTAATTAACTTATACTGAGCTTTTTGTTTATCGAGTTAGATTAAAATTCAGTTTTACCCTACAGTCAAGTGCGAATTCTAATATTTTTTTTCTAACATGGGATTTTGGTGCTCGGTTCACATCGTTACCTCATCCCTGTCTTCAAATTAAGCCTGGTCAGGATTTTGTCTACCAGCTCTACCTTTACGACGCATACCTGTACACGAAGCACGTGTACAAACAATCAGGTACAAATGTGTTTGTGATGCATATATCGGTGGGGTAAATGAATAACGGTGTTGTGGATGTGGACATATACGCGGAGTGGACGCGTACTGCCCAAGAACTGTTTAGCTGTCAATGAATTCTTTTTATTATTGCCACGCGAATTTATGTCGGCTGAGAAGGTGTGCCTGTCCGAAGACGGGCGCCTGGACTGATCTTTATCATAACTTTCAGCTAAATGTCCATGTTTATGTTTGCAATTTTTGTGTAAAATATTTTCAAATACTTGCGATAGCCACGTGGGGTTTCACATTTCACAGTTGTCGACTTCTAATAACTAAGAATATCAAAACATACTTCAAGGATTTGAACATCAAAGCTTAATGCAAAATTAAATACTTTTTTAAATACTAATAACGACATTTCATGTAAGGTAGGATGGGGCACAAAGGTCCAATTTGACTTTGAGCAATTATATTGTGAAAACCAAACCAATTATATCAAACAAACAACTATCGACTATGTTCAGTAAAACTCCCAGCTAATTTATTATTGTAGAAATGTGTTTTTTGCTGTTTTTCAAAAATTTACCTGATTTTTTTTTACCCCGTAGGCGGGGTAAAATGGGACGGTCAGGGACAAACAGGTCCAATGTCTTATTTTTAATTTTAAAGTGATTTTACGAAATAATAGCTACATTATTCAACCAATGCAAAATATAAATTTCATGGGTACATTTTTTCAGAGATAGTACAAAATATAACCTATATTTGGTATTTTGTCAGAAATATTCATCAGCAGAGTTAAAATGATCATTTATTTATTTTACTTCTTGTAAAATTGTTTTATTTTAACTTAAATTACTTTTTTGTTTACTATTTTTTTATTGTTAACACCTTTAGGTAAAAGTTCAGTTGGTCCTTTTACTCTACCCACGTGTAAGCTTTTATAGAGGTTATATAAAATAAACGGTTGAATTTAAATTAAAGCTAACAAAACACCTTATAAAAGAATTATTTAACGTGTACTTAAAAATATATATTAAGGTCTCGTAAACTAAACACAGTACTCATAATCGGCAAAACTAACGATAAAAGAAAATACTTACGTCGGGGATTTTCAAACATTATAGTTTAACTCCCAATAGTAACGTCAAAAGAATCAAGGTGATGGCTGGTTATACATCTTTTTCCCTTTACTTGTTTTTGAATTGTCGGTGGTGGACATTTTACCCGCGGATCTTTAAACCCCGCTCTACCTTATTTGATTGATTATAATTATAGAGAGATAAATACTTGTTTTTATGGCATTTTTGTTTATTGATTCCCACTTAATCTAATTTCTTAAATGCGACTACTTATTTGTTGGACCGGTAACGCAACTGAATCTCAATTTAATTTCATTTAGACATGCTTAGTTTTTTGCAATGAGTTTTTTTATGAAAGACTTTGTAATTGTAGTATTTTGTTGCAATTTATTCTTAGCTTTATGAAGTTTGAACATGAAAAAATGAATTAGTGAATAACTTTACCGTTTTGTCTTGAACAATATTCTCACGTTTGAACTAAAATTAAATGTGAAAAATGCAAGTCTGTTCGGACGATTTCGCATAGTTTTTAACAAAGTATAATTTCTTATTATATAGAAATAATGTGAATCATCCACATTGGAACTTCAAGTTTGATTTAGGTAGTATGTATTGTATGACTTGGGAAAAAATGCAATTATTGTGATATCTTGGAAATATAGGTAGCAATATATTTCTAAGTGAAAATATGCTTTACACGGCATTATCAATAAAAATCCATAACTATTGCAAAAAATATAATAATAAAATTTCATCACATAGAGATGCGACAACCTGTTGAGTTGCCATCTTTAATAAATCGACGTAGTTTGTAAAGAATTCATCACAACAGCTCATATAACTCTTAAATTCTGTTCATGGTTTATATTCATAACTAGGATATCATTAATTATAAGTTCTGATTGCTCTATAAATAAAATAAAACAAATTAGTGATATAATTTTATGTTATTGAACCATATCCTTCTAATATTGGGGAAAAATTGTATAACAACTTGCTTGTGCAAAAATTTTAGTTTTCATAAAATGAAATATTTAAAAGTAATTACAAAGATTTCAATTTACTTATTATATATTTTTTGTATTAATGCCTTGAAATCAAATTAAACTTGACTAATTACTTATGCAAAGTCTGAGTTACTTGTTACTGATTCCAATACCTCATCTAAATGCAATTAAGCGATAAACTTTCTCTATTTGATGTATACGTTATATAAACTAATTGAATTTTTTCCATAACATTTTTACAGAATGCGTAATTTATTTTTATCGAAACTCGATAGGCCGTTTTCGATAAAAATGCGAGCAAAATGACTTTCAATCATTGAAAATGATTTTATGACCTTGTTCTCCTTATGAGCTTGTAACTCAAGTGTAAAAATTTCCAATGGGTAATAAAATTGAAATCTTCATATCAGAAAATAATCATTTCATTTACAGATTTAATGGTAATGTGATGAATAAAAATCTTAGATAATTCGTGACACGATGATTAGTATGAATTTGTTGAAATAACCACATGTTATCTGTATACCTAATGTATTAGATTTAATTGAATTATACGATCGCATAGAGTTTATGCAAAGTGATCATCACTTGCTAAACTCCGGATTTCAATGTTAATAGAGTTACAATATGTACGCTGAAATCTGAATTGATAATTTAGCTTAAAAAATTGATTTGTTTAATTTATAGTATGGAAAAAAACCGATGTGGAAATTTTAGTCTACAAATGCTAACAAGTAATTGAAAAATCCGCAAATGATAGAGTTATTTAACTTGGCAAAGAAAAATATTTTAAAGAGATATATGATTTTATTTATGTGATACGATTAAAATAATTAAAAAACCAAC